TAACATATCAACATCATGTCGCACTCTCGTTTGTTCAGTTTTCATTTCATTTCACCCCCTGTCTGAACATACATACCTATATGTGCAACCCTCCTCCCCGCCCATCACTTTGCCTTTTTACGATTATTATTATTTTTACCGCTGCGGCGGGATTCACACGAAGGCGCCTGCTCAGTTCTTTTTTTTTGCATTTTTTGGTTTCGGTGCTGTTTTTTTTGAGCGCCTCCTTTTATTTATTTCGCATATGGCTTTGCAGCTAATTGGGAATTATTTTTATGCATGAATTGTGTGAAGAAATTGGTAATCATTTGTTGAGCGTAAGCCATGACAGCGGCGACAGCGGCCTGCTGCTGGGTTTAATGCCTGTCCCAAGTCGAGAGCCGATGAGCTAAAGCGCCATCTACGGGGGGATTTGAGCGGATTTCAAGCGAATGTTAGGCAGCTGTCTTCTGAGAAGCTGTTGCTGCATCCGAATGTCTGCCACACAGAACTCAGCTGTCACTTCAAGATTCCTAATTAAGAAGCATGTTGCTAAAATGTCTTAAGTGGCTCCCTCTATAGAGAGAACTTTAAAGAAAGAGTTGTGAACAATTTACGGAAATATAATAACTTCTGGATCACTTTAAACATGATGTTCGAGTTTTCCTGATCATAATGAAACAAAATCTGTTTCCTTAATTTGTTTGGTCTTTCTAGACAATCCATCATGTGCCTCAGCCCACATCCACTTTGTGAGTAATAACCATTTCCGCAACGTCAACCGCAGATCTCGTTTCACACATCGTTACAAAATGGGCTCAACCACAGTGTCTAAAGACAACGCCGGAACTACGATTTGTTTGAGTTTCAATAAGCTCGGCACACATAATATAACACACACGTGAACTCTTGGGAAAATTGATATTTCGCATTAGCGACAGCAACCACTACAAAGGTAATGACAATGAAAAGGTGTCAAAGTCGGGCCGACCGGGTGCGTGGGACTCACATTCTCGGGGAATGGGAATGGGAATGGGAATACTGCACATCAGATGCAAGCTGGCCATGGCCATGGGAAACTCGAATCCAATACGAGGATTGGAAGACTGACCAACTCCGGAGGGGAAACCGAAACCGAAACTGCAGCATTGAACCATTAAGACAAATGGGCTGGCATTCAAAGCCAAAGCAAAATGCTGGCAAACAAAGCAAAGCTCGAAAGACAAATGAGGCGGTGGCTTGGGGCACTCACACAATGTGTTGACACGCTTTTTGCCGCGCAGGAGAATGTGCGAGTATCGCGCAGATACAAAGATACACAGGTACACCGATTCCGATACAGATGCGGCGACAATTTGTCAGCCCGACAAATAGCCGATGTACGTGAGCGAGCAAACCTTACGTGAACTGGGTGACAGAATCTTCAATCTCCTCAAAAAAAAACCAAACAAACAAATAATAAAGAAAAGCGATTATGCAACCCAAACATTTGTCTAGGAATTTCATCGATTTTTTGTGACCACCAGGGATACAAAAAATTTAAAAAAAAACCGAAAAAGACAGGAGAGAAGCCCGATATCAATCTTGATCTTGATTTCAGTTCGGCGCCTCTTTGATGGAAGCGGCCAAACAAATTCCTTTCGAGCTTTGGCTACACGACACCATGCCGGTATCCGACCTCAATGTGCGCTGAATTGTGTAAACAAGCTGACTCCAAACATACTCGGCATCATCAATTTCCAGAGCAGATCAGCCGACTGGAGACGGGAGATCGCTGAAGAGTGGAGAGCGGCGTCGGGTCTTATTGGAAATTATCATAGCAGAGCATCTGAGTTATGCCCTATGCCGTCTCATCGTCGTCGTCTTCGCAGTTCGCAGTTGTCGTTGTCCTGCCGATAATCAGACGCGCTTGGTGGCTCAGATTCTGAGTCGCGACACTGAGAGAAAATGGACTGGGGTGTCAGAACGAACAAACAGAAGGGATATCTGAAATTACAAGTCTCACAACGTGGTGCTAGCTATCTTAACTAAATCCTTTCTTAATATGATCCGTATAATTGTTTTTTTTTTATTGAAAACCAATTAATTTGACACTTGTGCATTTGACACTTTGTGCATTACAAAAAAATTGGCGCCCAACGTGTGGAACTTTAGAATGACTCGTTCAAAGTATGTAAGAGTTATATCAATTAAAGCCATATCCGTTGAAAGCAAAATAATTTAATAAGAACAGTGAAAAAACGTTGGCGCCCAACGTGGGGCGTTGCAGCCAAATCATTGCAATCCCTTCGAGTATAAGAAAACCATTAAATGCCAAATATATTTATATAAATTAAGACTAGTTTCTCTGGGTGGACTCTCTCGCCTGATTCCCATTCTGACGACTCCTGGCTGGAGCGACTCCACATGCATCGCAGTTGGAATATTTCAAGCGAAATCTGGCCAATGCGGTATCGATTGACTTGGCGACTTGGTCTCGATCTGGATCTCTTTTGCATTGGCCCGGGGTTTGGGCCTTTGGCTGCTTTTTAGCTGCTTTGGCTGCTGCGTTTGCGGCCTTTCAACAAATTGACTCGACGATAATTGAAACTGACATGTGACTAATCTGCACCGAAGACTGCTCAGCTCCGTCTGCTCCTTCAGCCCCATAAGAAACTGGTTGGTTGTTTGGTCGCTTGTCTTTTGGCCTTCTTTTTCAGATCTTTTTCGGTTTTTTTTTTTGCCCATTGCCGGTTGACAATCGGGCACTGTACTTTGCGCCATAAATTTTCCAACTGTTTCTCACTCAAGTCCGGGGCCGGCTACTTTGTTGGACACAATTTTCGATTCGATTCGATTGCCTAACATGCGGGCTGGATATTTATTTCCACACATACTCTGTGTGGATTCGGACTGTGTGCATGTGGGTGGCGTGGCTCAGCGGCGCGTTATAGAAAATGTTACTTTTGATTATTATTTATGCGACATGATGAAGCGACGCTTCGCTCGCTTCCAGTCCCGTTTCCCCATTTCCAGTCGCGATCGATGGCCGGAGCGTGAAAACAACAATAATGTGGGAGGGCGGCGGATAGGTAGATGGATGGATTGTTAGATGGATGGAGAAAGTGTCACCAGTTGACGGTGATGTAAGGCTCCAAACTTAACTTATGGTAAGTCTAAAGAGATCCTCTACCATTTTTTTATTAGAGCTGCATAGATTTATAGATAGATAGAAAAATTATATATCTGAATATTTTACTGTCTACCCGCTGAGAAAAACTGACTCACTAAAACTTTCCATTAATCATCATTACCAGCAATTTCGCCGAGCTACGACTATGGGCATTTCCCCAACTTTTTTGGCAACACCCACCCAAGAAAGCTCTTATCTCTGCGCTATTTATATGCCTTCTGGCATTATGCCTCACTACAGTTTAATTGGAATCTAATGGCCTTTCGTCACTTGCATTTCGAGTGGAGACCATAAAGTAATTTCGATTGCCAACGAAATAATCATGCGAAAAGAAGGAATCGTAATACAATTCCAGTAGTTTTTTCATATTCATCTGTGTCATATAAAGCTTGTGCGCTTGCTGTTCGATAAAAAGTTTATGGGGGCCATAGGTACTGAGAAATTAAGATTTTCTTAGATCTTGTCCGCCCACGAACACGCAGCGATAGCACTTATCAGTTATCGGAACACGTCATCGAACACTTGGCACACTTAGCAAATCGCATATCTGATCGATGATGGTCATTTAATTAGGTGTCGAAATTGCAAAATAATTTAAATGCTAGCTAGAAAAAGGACCCTACAAGTTAGATATACGTAGTACGATAGGGTAGCTTTGAGTAGTTTAAGGGGAGCTGGATTGGGGTAGGAATCTGAGATAGGGGTATATGGGATCGACACATTTCGGGCATTGCTCAGGTTGATTCTTCTGAGACTCAGCATTAACTTTTATATATTTGATAGCATCGAGCGCCATAAATTTGGAGACAAATATCCGAAATACTTGTGACAGCTTTTATTTAGGCGGAATACCCTTTCCAAATGAAGCTTGATGCAAACTTGGGAAGATACACTAAGCTTAAAAAAAATTGTCTCCTACTTCCCTTTCATTAATATTGAACAATTATCTTTACTTGGCGACATTGTAGATAATTTATTTAAGGAAATGGATTGTCAAAAATTTTATTGTACTATCCTTGAAATATAAATATTTTTATTATATAAAAGTAACTTTAGATCATTTAATATTCGACTTGACCAGATGTGGTTGGCCCTCTGTCATTCTTCTTTTAATTTTCTTTTTTTTTTGGCAAAAAGAACGCCACAATAAAGATAAACTCTAACATGCTTTATACATCATTAAACATTCCTGCACAGTCGTCGCTCTTTTTATTGGTTGCTCTGGAGCTGCAGCCTTTCATTCACCCCTGTTAGCCCCTCTTAACCTACACCTATGCCTCCCACATCCCCCACCTACCCCTCTTGACCCTCGAGGATCCATTTTGGGGAGAGCTCGAGATGTTGAGGTGGTTTGGGTTTTGGCGCAAGCTCTTTTTCAGGTGATTTATACATGACAGGGCGGGTTTGGTGCTTTGGGGCTCTCGTCCCCTTTTATTTCCCCCTGTTACTTATCGTTAAAGTGGCGTGCCAAAGCTACACGAGACCCGATAAATGTCACTGATATTTAATTAAGTCTGGTCGACCAGAAGTCCAAAGCAGGCTGTTGGGGAGGGAGGTCACATAAATGGTATATAGCTGACTTGCATACCGAAATTCATTAGGGTGGCTCATCAGGATTTTATGTCTATTTTAATTATGTTACCGAAAGAAAATAGGTATTCCATTCCTCGTTCTGACTAAGATTAAAAGGTTTTTGAAGAATATTTTCTAATTTTTTAATCCTCTCCATCGAGCCACCCTAATATACTCAAATATTTATAAGACTATTCCGGTCATCCAAATCAATCGTAAATGCTTGAAACCGAAACTGAAACAAAGACAAAACTTTTAATTTTATTGTGCCCAATAGCCCCACCACCCGACTCGATTTCACCCGTTCCACATTCCAAGTCCGCTGACTCAGATCAGCCGTAAAACCGACTAATTTATAAGCCTATATACCCAAAGTAAGGACAGGGGTATTGGGATCGAAAAAAAAGTATCTCAAGAATCTCCGCTACCGCTGCACGCGCCATAAATATGTGTTAAGTATGCCTTATATCGAAAACTTGTGTTCATAACAATTTAATTTTGCTTTTGTTTCCACCAGCCAAAGAACAACAATGACAAGAAAACGAGGCTACAAGAAATCGGGCAGCGGAACCAAAAACCGAAAGAAAAAAGTTCAGATTGTCGCGTGTCCAAGACAAGACGTCGACAGCATCGCCAAATCCTCCAATATTCCGAGCTCGAAGGGAAGTGGATCGCTGCGGTTCGGGATCGGATCTCCAGCGACAACAAGACGACAGAGTCGTGCTAATGGGAATAGTATGTAAACGGATGTTTTAATGTCCAAAAAGTAAACTGCGAAAATACACCAACAGCAACAACTTAAAAATCGTTCGGTTTTCAACTCGGCGAAAAAAATGCGAAAACCCAAAAAAAAAACACAACGTATCGATCGGCCGAAGTGAGTGTACATTATAAACACCTACGAGAATTCTTCGCTGGCCGATACACAAGTTTTCGAAGCCCCCAGAGTTAAAAACGCGTACAAATTGCTTTAGGAAAGTGGTGACAAGCTCCTCGATCGCCAACATCATCGAGTAAACAAAAAAAGTTCAAATTGTGATACAAAGTGAATGAATGGATGAATGAATGTTGAAAGCGGGGAGCGTCGTTTGATACTTGTTAGATTTATATAAAGCAATTTTATTGGTTTATAAAACAAAGAAATTAATTATTACAAAATAGGTAACATTTCTTACTTCTTTTAGTTTTATAGGCTATAATAATATTAACTATATAGTTTTTCTTGTCTAAGCATTTTATGAAAAATCTTTATACCACACAAACGAAGGGTATTTTAAAATTCCAAATCCTTCCAACAGGGGCAGCAAAATGTCGTCCTACAAATTAACAAAAATTCCAAAAATGTTTGACCGTCTGCAAGAAAACTCCTCCTTCACTTTTGGCTTGAATGTTTCGTGCCACATTGATCCAATCATTTTGGAGATGCTATCAACAATACATTATACGCACTATCTCCCTCCCTCGTTATTCTGCATTCCATTTGATATGAAGCATAGGAGAATTTATGATGACCTACAGTAACTAATGGATTTGCCTTTGGCCTCAAAAAGATTGAGCCATATTTATACTTCAATAAAGAATTTTTTCCTTTTTTTTTTAATATTAAAAAAATTTTCCTGTTACCATTTTGTAATTTATAAAGTTTTGGTTTCCATTGGTGACTAAAGGTGACTACAGTGTCTTTTTAATGGCACAAAACCCGCGCGATCTTCATCGATAATATCGCCTGTGCAGGGAAAAAAGGAACAGGGAGAAAATAAAGCCAGCCAAGGAACCCGGTCAAGCTCGATCGGACCAATCGACTAAAACTGGACAGGGAAGTGAGCCCAACACCCGTCTCTTTCCTTGGGCGTAGTCCTGTCTCTTTCGTTTCGTCTGGAGCCCGCGCCCATTCATGTCATCAAGCGTGGTAAAACATGCAACGTGCCATTAGCCTGGGCGATGGGACACAACACAGTCGAGGAATCGAGGGAACCCAGCCGAAACCCAGCTGAAACCCAACTGAAACCCAACTGAACGGCCGGCAAAATCGAATTCCTTGTTAGATGCATTCCGACAAGTTGTTTCCTGACACCTCGCCAGCAAAATACACTCATAAGCAGTCGGCAGTCTAGGTGTTGGCTGCGATTTTACGACTGCGTAGAGGGATCCAGCGATCCAGCCATCCAACGATACAACCATCCAGCGAAAGCTTGACAAGAGTTTATGAAACGAGCCACAGTCGTCGCCCGTTTTTATATGGGCCGTAAGTTGACAGGCCACTGGCGATCCGGCAACTGGACACGGCTTAAGATACAGTCTTACTTGCCTAACTTAAACTATAAGGCGTTTAATTATTAAGCCTTTAGACTATTGTATTATATGCGCAGAGGTGCAATGCCAGTTCGCTTATTTTAACTATAAACTGTTTAATTGAATAAATACATATAAGTGAAGAATTTTTTTGCAATTTTATCAGGATCATTTTTAAATTCAGAAGAATTTATCATCGAAAAGGGAGTATATTTTTAAAATATACTGACTTAAGTATCAGACTTAGAAGTATGACTGTACTTAATGGATCGGAGGTTCAGTGGCTCAGTGGTTCGGTGGCTCGGTGGTTCGGTGGTTCTCCATCGGGTCCGGTTGGTGAATCATTATCCTCTACACCACTCTTGCGGTTGCCCCGCCGCTGAGTTTGAATTAATTATGAAACTTAAGCGAAGTCGCTGCCGCTTGCAATTTATTTTAATCGCACATTGCTAGGCGCATTTATAATCGATTAGGTTGGCAATAGTTGACCCCCCACAGGAGTGGTGGTGAAATGTGTGTCAATGGCTATCGTAAAATGTGTTAGTTTTATGCTAATGCGCCGGGTTTTATTCATTTAGTTATTCGTCTGGAGTCGTCGCCGGTAGATCGCATTTTAATTGCGGTCTTTTCCCGCTTATTAATCCCAAACCAAATGCTATCCCATCTATAACAATCCCTCCCGCGTGGCTACTGATTTAAGTTGGGCTGGTTCTGCTTAATTAGCCATTGATTTGTTTGCTTCCCGACTTAAATATGTAAATTAAAATCGGGCTACATGACTAATAGGCCTAAATGAATCGCATCAGCTGCCGGTTTTTTATCAAAATGAAATGGGACTATCGGACTATATTAACAAATCTTTGGAATTCATCGGGGCTATAACTCAAAATTAGGGATAATGGCTTGTTAGGGAATATGGTTCGAAAAGTTATTAATATTCATTTAGAATCTACCATAGCAGATCTTAATATTTAATATTATATATTTTTACATAAAACAAATCAAACCTAAGGTCTTTATAATAAAGTTCACCTTGTGAATAAAGTTCCCACAGTTGTTTCTCCCCTACCCCCAAATCACCCATAACTTTGATCTAATTAATAATAGAGCAGACCCAAAGATATAGCACTTGCCACCGCGCAAAGTCAGGATGGGATCGCATCGGGGTTTTTGGATGTGTACAAGAGCGTATAAGTGGGAAGCCCATCCAGACGCAGACACATTTAATCTTAATCATAACTTTGTTGTGAACACTGTGTGGCACTGAAATCTCCCAGGCAAAATTCCCAGAAATCAATCAGACAGCGACTGGAAGTTTCGGTAGCATAGCCAACGGTCCCCAGCCCCAAAATAAAACCCATGGGCAGTCATAAGTTGTCTCAGTTGTTTTTCTTTTTTTGGGTTTTGAGGGGCGCTGCCTGCTGAATAAACGCATAAATCTGAAAGCCACAAATTGTAACATTGGCTGTAATAAATGCCGCGATCCGCCCACCATTTGCTCATGGGTTAAGGCAGCAGCAGAAGCAGCCACGCTAATCGAGAACGAGGGTTAAGTTCAGGAGAACGGGGATCGAGGGGCACTTGGGACAGACATTTTGGAATTTTCGACAGTTTTTTAGCCCTGAGCCTTTGAAAATTCACACGGGCCTAAACACAAAATAAACAAAATGTTGTGGTCGCAACGGCAGCACCGCAACAGCAGTCAGGACCAGCCTCTCGGGGCATCTTGCTGTGGGGATCCCGAGCTCATAAGCAAACCCAATGCCAGGTTCAGATCCCGAGCCATATTGTCTTAATGCGCCGTGCCCTGTTGCCGCCCCCTTCGTGTTGCCTTTGGATCCGTAACCCGTAACCCCCAACCCCCAACCCCAGTACACCAACGCCCAACCGTTGCCCCAATTAGTCCGATCTGCTTCTGATACGCGCGCCGAAAACGTCGAAATCATCGAATGACCCAGGGCCAAAGGGTTCGGCCTAGAGATGGTACGAAAACATGGGAACCCACGTACCTTAAAATATCAAGTCTTAGGAACGGTTTTTCAAGCGATTTTAAATAGATTAAAACATTTCAGGATATTTAAACAAGAATCCTATTTTTAAGATCAGTTACAAAATCTTTTTTTGAAAACTATTTAATTTGTATAAAGATAGGGAACCATCAAACATTTAAGTGGTTAAATAAATGCTAGTATCTCTGAAAAATTGGTTCTTTTATGAATTAGGTAAATAAGCCTGCAAATAATTTGTTTATGCAAGTTTTTAAAGCATTTTTCTGGGATGTCCTTATGCATGATTTACTTTAAGATAGTTCCCAACCGAAATGACCCCTCACGCACTCATCTCGAATCCAAGTAAAGACGAGCACAGTCTCTCACTCTCTCTTCCCCCGCTACATATATTTCTCGACCTTTTGACAATTTAATAATAGGTTTTTGGTGAGTTGCACTCGCTGACCAAATGACGGACTACAATGTGGCCCGGTCCATATCCACGGATTGTGGCCACTCCGATGTGTGTGCGCCCACCACATTTCGTAGAAATCCGTGGCGCGACCTCTGGTCCACCGATCATCCCCCCGGTCCCTTGCCCCTTTCATCTTCCATCTGGAAACCCTACCTATATGGCATGGTAGCTCCCTTTCGTTTTCGATGGGCGTTAAAATTGGGCTGATCACGTTCCTGCACGCCGTTCACTTAGGTAGCCGTTTATATCTGCGTGTAATCCGAGTTCCAAATCCCAAGATTAACACGGAAAGAAATATTAATAAAATTGATCAGAATTTCGGATTTCTAAATATAAAAATTCTTTTTAAGCCAGATATGTCTAATAACAGAATGATGTTTTGATTTAATAAGCTTATGGAGAACTAGTCCTCTGAAATGTACATATAACTGACAAATTGTAAATTTAAGAAAAGAAACAAAATTATAAATATTCAATGATCAAAACTCTTAAATATAATTCCATTAATTGGCAATAGTTATTATAGCAACTAGTACGTGAAGGTGATCATCATGATATCTTATTTTAATTATTACTTATTGACAAACAAGACTACTATTTAAGAATTTAAATTATATATTTAAATGCATTTTGTATTTGTTTAGTAATATTTCTCTCTGTAACATTTTCAGATCTTGCTGCATCATCCAAAGCGTCGGCGTTAGACTTTCTCAGTTCTCTGTTTTTGGGCCTGGTTTAACCATGGGTTTTGCGGACTTTTGTGCCAATAGACCGACTGACTGAATGATTCCGTCTATGGCTTTTGATTTTGATAAACGCTGCTAAATTGTGGCAAATTAAATTATTAAACAACATTTTTTTCCGTTGCCTTTTTGGCGTCTGGGTTTGGTTTTGGTTTTGTTTTCGTTTTTGGCTCCGTTTGATTTGGGGACGCTGCAAATTGTTGCAAATTATTTTTGGCCTTGTCTAAGTTTGGCTATATGGCTATATGGGACGTGATCGGAGTTGTGGGCCGTTCATACGGCCATTTTCAGTTAGTTGGATCGATTTAAGCCGCAATTTGAGCCACTTTGA